TCTCCCAAGAGTTCAAAACTGATGTGGAGGACTGAGGGGAGGAGATAGTCATTGAGTGAATTACTGTTTAGACTGTCAAGTGGTGATGGAATGATAAGCCAAGGAGGGAAGAAGAGTGGCTAAGGTATGAGAGGGGGGCATCAGACAAGTCATCTTTGAAAAAGTAGAGTAGTAAATTGAACAGTGTACCTACCCCCAAGTTCATGTCCACCTAGAACCTCAAAATGTACCTTATTTGGAAAGAAGTGCATTTGTATATGAAATTAAGGTGAGATCTCAAAATGATATACTGGGTTGAGGTGGGTCATAAATCTGATGATTAATGTCCTATTAGGACAGACGACACACAGAGATTGATGTAGAGTTTACAGTTGTGCCACCACCAACTAAGGAATACCTTGGGTCAAGAAGGATTTTCCCCTAATGCCTTGGGAGGGGGAATGGCTCTGATTTTAGACGCCCGGCTTCCAGAACTAGGAAGAAATTTCTGTTGTTTTGAGCCACTGGGGATGTGGTGTGTTGTCATGGCAGCCATAGGAAGCTCATATAAGTCAACGAAAGTGGAGTTCTGAATGGAGGAGCGAGCCAGCTGGGGCAGCCTAGGCAGAGGCATAGTGAATGGAGGGGACAGAGGCAAGGCACAGAGGCACAAGGTGACACTGGCAGAGAGGCATGTGTGGAGTGACTGAAGGCTTGGACCACCCACAGGGTGGTATTGTGGTTACACTGGGGAGATACATGGGAGGGAGAGCTACAGGATTCACTCATGTGAATGGTGAGAAAACAGGAGCTCAGGCTGAATCCATGGGTTTGGCTTGCACAAGCAATCAAGTTGGGAGGTGGGGACCAACCATGGACACACAATGACACAGACAATGACACGGACACATAAAGCTCTGTCTTAAGACACTAGGGATTGAAGTGCCTATCAGATCTCCACTGAGAGAAGTGGGACATTTGCATATGGAACTCAGTAGAAGAGGTCTCAGCATCGGGAGAAAAGAGACAGCTTTTATTTTATGCAGATGGTATGATTATGATTATGTAGAAACCCAACATAAATAATTAAAATTAATCATTCTTTAAAGTATTTATTTTTATTTTATGTGTATGAGTGTATTGTCTGCATGTGTGTGTACGTGCACCCCTGTCATGCAATGCCCGAGGAGGTCAGAAGATGGTGTGTCGGATCCCATGGAACTGGAGTTACAGTTGGTTTTTAGTTGCCATGTGGGTGCTGGGAATCAAACCCTGGTCCTCTACAAGAGCAGCCACTGCTCTTAACCACTGAGCCATCTCTCCAGTCCCCTAAAATCAATCATTTTTAAAAGTTCAACAAGATGCCTGAATACAAAATAAACTTTGAAAAACTGAGGGCATTTTTCAACACTATTAGTAACCAAGAAAATATGACTTAAAATATTCAAAATTTCAACAAAAGCCAGGCATGGCAGCACACACCTCTAATCCCAGCACTTTGGAGGTGAAGGTTAAAGGATCAGAAGTTCAAGGTCATCCTTGGCTACACAGTGAGTTTGAGGCCAGCCTGTTCTGTTGTCTCAGAACAATAACAAAAAAAATCAACAAAAGTCCTAATACCCAAGTAGATATAACTTTTCAAAGAAGCTATAGATATGAGAAAATATAAAGGTAGATGTGCAAATATCTAAAAAGTAATAAACCAAGAATATATTAAGCCATTCATGGAGAAAATTTTAAAGGACTAATAAAGACCCAGATAGTATCTTTAATGAAAAGAAAGGAATATTATGTATTTGTAGAAGAGATAGCAATATTAAAAAGATATTCTTGAGGCTGGAGAGATAGCTCAGTGGTAAAAGCACTGGTTGCTCTTGCAGAGGACCTAGGTTAGCACCCATATGGTGTCTCCATTTGTAACTCCAGTTCCAGGGTATCTGACACCCTCTTTTGGTCTCTACCAGCACTGCACTACATGGGTGCATTTACATACATGCAGGCAAAGCACTCATACACATAAAATAAGAATAAATGAATAAAATTGTTTAAAAATATATTCTTCCTAAACAAATTTATAACTACAGTATAATCTGTATTGAAATTGATAATATGCTTTCACAATTCCATAAATTTATTGTAAAATCTGAATGGAAAAATGAAAGTCTTTAAAAGACAGACTAGCTTTCAGATGAAAAAGAAAAAGGCTGCCCTGTTAAATATTAAGGTACACCACAACACTAATAAAAATCTGGGTTGTATTGGTGTAATACTTTCACATAGACTAGAAGAAAACTCAGGAGATGCATGTGCATAGGGGAACTTAATGTACATAAAAGGGACCTCAAGAACCACAAGGAAAGGAGAATTCATATATGCCATTGACATAACTGATGCAACTTAAAGAAAAAGATGAAACCGAAGATGTAAGTCAGTGATAGGGTGTGTAGTGCATGCTAGATCTCACAAATCAATAAGGAAAAAAGAATCTCAATGGAGAGTTGAGCAAAGAATATAAACAAGCCTTAAAAAATAAAGCAACTTTTTTTTTTGGTCCAACATGTTTATTTAGTGTGTGCATTAGTTACTTAAAAGATTTATTTTTTAATTTTATGTGTGCAAGTGTTTTTGCTTGCATGTGTGTATGTACTTAGGTGTACTGGGGAGACCAGAGCTGCCATTTGGGTGCTAGGAACCAAACCCAGGGCCTCTGCAAGGGCTGTAAGCACTCTTAACTGCTGAGCCATCCCTCTAGTCCCTGTCTTAGTTCCTTTTTGTTGCTGTTATATAATACCATGACCAAAAGCAACTTAGGAAAAAGTTTAATTTGAATTATGATCCAAGGGAGAGTTCATAATAGGTAGGGAGATGTGGCAGCAGGTGGCCAGAGCAGGAAGCTAAGGGATCACACATTCAGAGAGCAAAGTGGAAGTGGGGTGAAGCCATAAACTCTCAAAGCCTGCCCCAAGTGACACAATTCCTTCAGCAAAACTATACCTCCTAAAAGTTCCATAACCTCCTGCCCACCAAAGAGCACCACCAATCAGGGACCAACTGTTCAAATGCACACACCTTCTCATTCAAACCACCACATTCCACTCACTAGCCTCCATAGGCTCGAGGCCATATCATAATGTAAAATACATTTAGTCCAAGACCAAGGTCCCCATAGTCTTTAGCAATTTCAACACTGAAAGTCCAAAATCTCTTCTGAGACTCAAGACAATCTCCTAACTGTAACCCCGTGTAAAATCAAAAAGACAAATGACATACTTCCAACATACAATAGCACAGAGTATATATTTCCACTCCAAAAAAGGAAGGATGCGGCATAGTTAGGAAATACTAGATTTAAACAGCTTTGAAACGCATTTAAACAACCTTGAAACCAAAACCTGTAGCTCCATGTCCTGTGTCTGGGACTTTACTTTCAAAGGACTTAGATGGCCCCACCCCACCTCCAGCTTTGCTACCTATAACATACATCTCTTTCTTGGTTTGGTTCCACTTCCTGTATACAGTTATTCTTGCAAATGTCTCACAGCTCTGGCATCTCCAACATCTTGAAGTCTCCATTTAACCCAGGCTTTCCCTCACAGCTTCATACAAAGGCCCCTCAGGGCCTCCTGCCCTCTCAGGGCCCTCATACAGGGACTCCCACGCCACACGTTGCCTGGCCTCAGCAGCTCTCTGAAGGGGAGAGGAACGATCCACGACCCCCTCACTCTTGCACCTTTCATGCCTCCAAAAACAATGTGGACAATACTGCCAAGTTCCGCTACCAGCTTAGGATGGACCCTCACCACTTGGACCACATAAGCAGCAGCTTTTGTAGGTTGAAGCAATTGCTTTCAGGGAACAAGCAACCCCTTAGGCTTTCTCCTTTCACAAATTGGAAGCTTAGCTGAGTCAGGACTTTCCCTGAGGACACCCTTCCCAATCTGTACATTTAAAAATTTTTTCTCTGTCCCCACCTGCTCTTTTTCATTGTAGAGTTATCAGCAACAACCATGCCATAGACTCAATATTATGCTATTCTGAAATTTCCTCTGCTGAAATTAGTCCCTTTCTTTTTTGTTGTTGTTATTGCTTTTGGTTGGTTGGTTGGTTTGGGGGTTTTTGTTGTTGTTGTTGTTTGGTTTTTGACAGGGTCTCCCTAGTCCCAGCCTGCCTGGAAGTCACAATATGGACCAGTGTGGCCTCGATCTTACAAATATTCACCTGCCTCTGCCTCCCAAGGGCTAGGATTAAAGGTGCATAAATTCTCAGGACACAAGCAGAAAACAGTTAAATTCTTTGCCAAAATATCACACAACTGACCTCTAGCCCAGTTACTGCTACAGAGTCTTTGTGTCCTGAAACCTCTTAAGCTGGCTTTCTAAGAGGGATCAGTTACTACCTTAATTTTGTTCTATGATTGTTTATTTGGTGTTCCACTTAATTTCTTTTTAATTAGTGGTTGGATCAGCTCAATTTAACTTTTTGAAAATTTTATTTCTGCTTTCATCTTAATGTTCAGACTTTCTTGTTTTCTACTCAAAGCATTAAGGCAATACATTTTCCTCAGACTATTGCTTTGACTGCATCTCATTCACAGTGACGCAGCTAATTAAAGGCCATGATGTGTATAAGGCACATGGCACAGCTGGTGCTCAATTTTCGTTAGCTCCCTTGCACTTGATCCTGTTCCTTATCAATAAACATTTGTCATCACGGAACACACTCAAGCATTTCTGCAGCAAAGCCGCATTCCAGGCAGCTCTACTAACAACCCCTCGGGCCCTTCAGGGGCGGAGCCTGTCGTGACCCCACCCCCTGCCCGTACCCTCCGGGTTCCCATGACACCCGCAAGCACTATCAACCTTACGTCCACCCGTCCCCTTCCGCTCTCAGGAAGCGAGTCTGAGCTGAAGGAGGTATAGTCCCTTGGCAACTGAGTTCCTCTCCGGGGGCGGGGCGGACAGGGGCGGGGCTTACGGGCAAAAGGAACCGGAAGCCGTACTGCGCGCGGCAGGACGGAGCTGCGCGGCCGCGGGGAGGGGCGCAGGCGAGCGGAGGGATCCCGGCGCGGCGGGGTAGCGCTGCGCCTCCTCGCTGACAGGCTAGCGGCGCGGGCGGCAGTTGCTGTGGTTTCGGGCTGAGGTGGCTCGGTGCGCGCCGGGGCTTGCGGACCCGCGTCTCGCTCGGCGTCCTCCTTTCGCACTCGCGGTGCTCACTCGCCTTTGTTACTCGGTGTGAACGTCCACCTGCCTGGGGCGGCTACGGGACCGCGGCGGGAGAGATGTTCAAAAACACCTTCCAGAGCGGCTTCCTCTCCATCCTCTACAGCATCGGCAGCAAACCCCTGCAGATCTGGGACAAAAAGGTGAGCGGCCGGGCGGCAGGAGTCGGAGGCCGCTCGGTTCCCGCCTGGCGCCAGCGCGGCGCGAGGTGGGGCTCTGGGCTGCGAGAGGGGGCTGCGCGGCGTGGGCGGGGCCCACTGTGGGTCCGAGCCTGGCCTCCCCAGCATCCGACAGGGTGGAGAGTGGGAAGCGGCAGACGCGTCGCTGTGCCCGGAAAGGAGCTGCTGTCCCCCCAACGCATGCACACTGGAGCCCTGTTTTGTGCCAGGCACCGGGCTGGTCTCTAGACACACTGCCTTTGTGCCAGGCGCCCTTCCGCCGGCACAGCCAGAACCCCAAGAGCCCTGCCGGAGACGTTAGGTTTCATTCATTCTCTGGCTTCCTTTCACTGGCTCCAAACAAGCCAGTGTTTGGCGCTTGCTGGGAGCGCGCACTATGGCTTGGAGCCTGTACTGTGCCTCCAGAAGCTGGGCTTCCTCGTCGAGAAAGCTGTACAGTGGTGATTGTCTGGAACCACAAAATCAGAGCCAAGATCCAGCCTCGGTATTATTCGGGCATTCTCTAGAATGGGTGGTATCAACCCCTCTAAATGATGGCCTTCCCTGGCCACTTGGAGATGTTAGCGTCCAGCCCTCTGTGAGTTGCTGTGCCTTTTTTACTTTGGTGTTTTATTTCTCAGGAAAAATGCCCAGGCAGTCAGCTATATCGTTTAAAAATTTTTTTAAACTTATTTTCATTTTATGTGCATGAGTGTTTTGCCTGCATGTATGTAAGTACACCCATGCATGCAATACCCAGGGAGGCCAAAAGAGGGCATCAGATCCCCTGGAACTGGAATTCCAGATGGTTATTAGCTACCATGTGGGTGCTGGGAACTGAAACCTGGACCTCTGCAAGAGCAGCCAGTGTTTTTAGCTGCTGAGCCATCTCTCTAGCTCCTGTACCATTTTTGGAATATAATTTAATTAATGTGTGCACTCTAATGTGGAAGCCAGGTGATTTAGGGACTGTTTCAGTTCTGCCTTCTTGGGGGACAACACAGTATGCTGAGTGGGATTTTTTATAGAGCTGTATGTGGAATGGGTGAAATAAGAGGAGTTACTGGTAGTGGAGCCAGAACAATTCTGTGGCATCTCTTATCCACAGATGAGGGCCTGGGGACACAAAGTTTGTGCCTGCTTGTCACCCCTAGGCATTTGTGTGTTCTGAGGTCTGCTTCAAGGGAGCCGTGTCCATGATCTCATTTAGGTCAGACACTTGAAAGATCTGGGTAGAACAAGTTTGGACCTTTGAGCAGCACCTGGCTTTCAGATGATTCTATCGATAAGCTCCAGTTGATGTCCAGTGTTACTAGGAAAGTGGTCCCTTAACTTTTTCCCCAGGTTCCTAGCTTTTCAGTTCTGTGGTTTTGTTCACTTTGAAATGGAACATCATAAGCTCTGAAATGACACCTCTGCACAGAGAACCCAGAGTGTCTCCCTGGGAACCTTGTAAAGATGGTAGCTCACCAGCCATGGTTACCTGCTTGTTATGGGCAGTCTGGGCATGGAGAAAGCAGTCTGTGTGTCACTTGATCTCGGAAACGGAACCATGTGAAGTGTCAGTGTAAGGCTGTTGAAATCAAGGTTTTCAGAACAGGTCAGAGAACATGAATTGCAACAGGAGGCAAGCCTCTTGAAGCTGTAAGCAGAGGTGTCCATTTAACCCTCACAGTTTTGATCTGTGATGTGGGTTATTTTTCAAACACAAGTTTTTGACTAGTCAACATGTTTACACATGGAATAGGAAAGCAAAGTAACCATGGTGCACTGTGTCCCTAACAACACCACTAGAGGTCAGATGGTACCCTGATGACATAAACACGTATGAAACATCATTAGATCCCTGGTCAGGGTTACATGGAACAAGTTAAACAGACATTTTTGGCAAAGAAACCTCTAAGTGAATACTCGTTTTAAGCCAGATCCTCACAATACAAAAAGTTAATTACGTGTTTCAAACTTTTATTTAGACTAGACTGAAGAGTGTTTAGGGAAGAGTGGTTTCTCCCTCTGAGGCAAGAGGAAGATGCTGGGGGAGGGAAAGCTTGGGGCCATCTCTAACCTTGTTGTCCCCATGCTTTTCCTCAGCTACATTATAAAGTTCTCAGAAAGGAACTGGGAATCCAGGGTAGGAGACACTGGAAAATGTTATGCTTCTCAATGCTATATTGAGCCACGTCTGAGTGATGGTCATTGTGCAGACTTGGGAAGATACAGTTAGGGGAAAAGTTCCCCCTGTTCTGGGCTTATGGAATAAGGCAAATCCCTAATTAGGGCAGAGTCTGATTGTGGGAAGGTGGCAGGTCGGGCTATCCATATTTACCTAGATGTGTCTTGGCCCTTTGCCAATAGGTAGTGCCTATTAATTGTGGTGCCTATTTTGAGTCATTTTGATTGCATAAATCTTTACTATGCTGACGTTGCAGTTTGTAGACAGAGACCATCTGTTTGCTTTCTATGAAAAGTAACCTTGAAATATTTGGTCTGGTTTCAGCTCAGTTTCTGAAAGGTAATGTTACATTACATTCTTACATTGGATCTGAACAATGTAATCATTGGCCTATGGCTTTCCCACTGCAGATCCCCTAATGCAGCACCTAGAGGTTTTGAGGCCCCTGGTCTGTACTCCCTTTGCTAGTTCTCCAGGCTCACATCAGGTTTCTTGTCCCTTCTTAGCAATGCCTCCTGGTTCACCAACTCCCATTCTTTGTGACCTAACCCTTCTTCTGCACTTCTGGTCACTTGCCTTCACCCCCAGTCCTCCACCTCCTCACTAGTCTTAAGGTCACAGTGCAGAGGAGGCAGGGCCCCAGAGGCCTGCCTTGACCCTGCAGGCTAAGTTAATTAGTATCACCCTACCTCCTTATTAGTCTTGGGGTCACAGTTCAAAGGAGGCTGGGCACAGAGGCTAGCTTTGACACTGCAGGCTAAATTATTTAGTATCAACTTTTAGAGCCTCTGCTTCCTATTTGTCTTACTTGAACTTAGCTTAAGGTCTGGCTACAGCACCTTAACTGATAGACATCTTTGTAAGTTTTCAAACCAAGAGCTTAGATGAAATTAATGAATTCCTTAACTTCTGGAACCAGCAGATCTTTATAAAAAGACTGTTAGGTTTAATGTAAGCCTCCCTTCTTATCTGACCTCTTTCAGACCTGTGTGAATGGTGCATAATTTTCACTTTGACTGGTGCTGTCCTAGGAGATGAGACCCTCAGAGTGCTGCTCTCTCTTCATTCTGCCCAGCCTCTCTTCCTTACAGTTGCTGTCCCTCCCTCTTTCCAAGTGGAATATCATCTTACCAGAGTCTTTTGTTGATGATGTTGCTAATAGTCCTTAATGAATGAGTTGCAGTTCCTTACTTTAAGGATGGACAAAGAATCTCCTCTCCAGATTTTTTTTTCGGGGGGGGGGATCTTTTTTGAGACAGGGTCTCTCCAGAGTTTTTAAAAAATTGTTACATTAAGCCGGGCTTGGTGGTACATGCCTTTGATCCCAGCACTCAGGAGGCAGAGGTACTCTGTGAGTTCAAGGCCAGCCTAGTCTACATAGTGAGTGCCAGGCCAGTTGGGCTACAGGGAGATTCTGTCTCAAAAAGACCAAAAATAAATAAAATAAAATAAAATTATTACATTAAAATTCTTTGGTGTGTGTGTGAGCCAGAGGGAGAGGGAGAGGGAGGGGGGAGAGAGAGGAGAGAGAGAGAGAGAGAGAGAGAGAGAGAGAGAGAGAGAGGTCAGGAGTAGGTGATCAAACCCAGGTGGTCCGGCTTGGCTACAGACTACTTGCTGAGCCACCATGCCAGCTCTAACTCTAGGCCCTAGGTCCTGATTTTAATTAGTGACTCTTGTTAAATTGATGCAATTTCCATGAATAGAATTGGGTGCCTTTGAAGAGAAAAGGTAAATTGATTTTCCCTTTCCCAAGGTCAGTTCACTGATGGGCTTTATTACTCTGAATAATAGCTTTTATTGTCATTGGAGGAAAGCATAGCAAGCTTGGACTGCTTGTGTTCTTTCAATGGGCATTATTGTCCGTAAGTTAACTGAAGGGGCTATTTGGATTTGTCTGGAATGGCCTGTCTGCTGTCTGGGTAGTCCCATAAAGTGTGGCACAAGAGAGAAGCCAGGTCCCTGGAGTCAAAGCTATGCCCACATCTCCCCACAGAGGGCTCCCTCTGCCTGTTTTCTGACTTGGAGGGGCCCTAGCCCTGGGCAGACACTTGCCTGCTGCACTGGACAGCTCTAATGGCTTAATGTAAATTGGAGCATGTGTCATGAAGAGGACATGCCAGATGGCTGAGGGTTCAGCTGCCTACCAGGATGAGTGGGTGGAGCCAGAAAAATGAAAGTAGGGGGAGGGGAGGGGAGGGGTACAGCTCCTGTGTTATCTTTAAAATCACTCTGTGGAAATGTGGAGCTTGGCCAGCTTCCTCCCTGTCCCTGTAGTATTATTTTTCCCTCAACTTGACCCTCTTCCCTGGGGCTTACACTGAGGGGGGAAAATCAGTGTTCTTTATTAGTTGCCCAGCAACCATGGAAAGCCTGGGAGAGTGACTGTGAGATGGATTGAAGGTTTGTTCCTTTGGTGTCTGTACAACTGAGAACCCTTCTTATGAGTGCTTGCCAGTAACTGGGGTCCAAAAGCTCCTGCATACCTCCAGCTCATGGGCAGGTCAGTGGTACTGGGTTCACAGGGATGAATAAAAAAGTGTAATAATATGTATGAAAATGCCATTTGATACCTATTTTTTCCTTTGTTTTTTATTTTTATTTATTTATTTTGGTTTTTTTGAGACAGAGTCTCCCTGTCACCCAGCTGGCCTGGCACTCACTGTGTAGACCAGGCTGGCCTCAGTCTCACAGAGATCCGTCACCTTCTACCTTTTCAGTGCTGGGGCTAAAGGTGTGCGCCACCACACCCGGCTTTTCCTTTGCTTTTTAAGGCATGTGTGCATATTATATGTGTGTATGCACATGTGGGGCAGTGTGTGTGTGTCCATATGTGTCTGGGGGGGGGTAGGGGCCAGAGGTGGATATTGGGTGTCTTCTGGCTGGTTAGTCAGTAAGCCCCGGGGATCCACCTGTCTCCACCTCCCAGGGCTGGGATTATAGTCAGTACACTGCCACATCTGTCCTCTATGTGGGTGCTGGGGATCCAAATAGGTCTTCATGTTTACACAGCAAGCACTTTACCCACTGAACCAACCCCCACACTCTTTTGGTTTTTTTGAGATAGGATCTTACAGTGTAGCCCAGGCTACCCTGGAGCTTACTATGTTGCCTAAGGTGGCCACAAATTTGGAGCAATCCTCCTGCCTCAGTCTCCTATGTGCTGAGGTTACAGGCATTAGCCACTATGTGTGGCTTAAACTTTGTATCCTAACCATATTTGTTTTCTTGTTACTGTGACCAAATACTGACAGAAGCAATTCAAGGGAAGAAAGAAATATTTGGGTTCTTGGTTTAAGAGAATGTAGGTCATAGTGGCAAGGAAGGCGTGGCCAGTTTGTGGCAGTAGGACCGGGTAACTGACACTCCACATCTGGACAGACTAGGAAACAGAGCAGGGAATTTCGATGCTAATCTGGCTTTCTCCTTTTTTCCTTTTTTATTCAGTCACAGTGAGGAAACAAAAGATGGGTTGGTGCTACCCATATTCAGAGTAGGTCTTCCTGCCTCATTTAAACTTAGGTGGATATACCCTCACAGACACACCCAGAGGTGTATCTCCTAGGTGATTCCAATTCGGGCAAGTTGACAGTGAAGGTAAACCATCACACTAATTTTAAAGTTTTTTTTTGTTTGTTTGTTTTGTTTTTGTTTTTGTTTTTGTTTTTTTCTGACAGGGTCTCCCTAGTCCCAGCCAGCCTGGAAGTCACTATGTGGACGAGGCTGACCTCATCTCACAGGGCTCCACCTGTCTCTGCCTCTGGAAGACTGGGATTAAAGGCATGCGCCACCACACCCAGCATTGTTTATTTTTATGTATATATGTGTGTGCCTGTGTGAATTTATATGCACCATGTGCCTGAAAGTGCCCATGGAGGTCAGAAGAGGGAATTAGATCCCCTGGAATTAGAGCTCCAGGCAGTTGTGAGCTGCCATGTGGGTGCTGGGGCCCGAATGAACCCTGGTCCTCTGCAAGAGCAGCAAGTACCCTTAACTGTTGAGCCATCTCTCCAGCCCTGTAATTTTAAACATTAATAAAAGAAAGGCAAAGGCAAAAAAATATGTACATATATTCACAGCCACATTCTGATAGTGAGAGTGTATCATGAATGAATGAAAAAGAATTTAAAAATCAGGAGCAGTGTGCTAGTTCTGATTTAGAGGGGGAAGTAAATAAAACCTGCTTGAGCACTAACCACCAACAAATAATTTAATCTTCCTCCCAGAGTCTGGCCTGCCTAGTGAACTCTGAACCCGAAGAAGCTAAGGAAAGGAAGTTGACACTTTCTGGGGATAGCATTTTACCATGTGTGTTCTTGTGAGAAGCTGCTCAGAGGAGGGGGTTGCTTCCTGGAAGGCCTGCACAATTGAAGGCGGTGACAGCCCATGTCTTGTTTGTTTTGTTTTTGTTTGAGACAAGTTCTCTATCTTGGTTAGCCTGAAACTCACAGGAATACTCTTGCCTCAAAAGTGCTTGGAATATAGACATGCCAGGCTCAGCCTGTGTGATTCAGTAATTTAGGAGTGGGGGTTTGGAAGCTTTGTCCCAAGGACCACTCCCCTGTGTCAGAGCCTTGGGGCAGAGGCTTTAGGAAGTCTCCTTAAATTCTCATTTCCCTGATTCATTGTCTGCTCCCCACTTTGTTCCTCCAGTGACTTTGTACTACAGCCCCGTGAAAAGGGCTTCATGTCAGAACACTGTAACTTACTAACAAGTAATGTTATCTTGCCTGTGCTGTGAGAAGCCTAGCAATACCAGAGTCCATCCTGGCTGGTGGTGAGGGCTCTGCATGAGGTGGAAGGCATTCTTTCAAAGACTTCAGTGGGCCAGATTTGCAAGCTATAAACTTGGAGGTGGGCAGAGGGAAAATTCCCTAACAGTTCCTCCCTGTGAGATCTAGCTGCTCTTTCTGCAGCTGGAGGAGATCTCTTGTTGACTCTGGCCTGGGAGCCTTTTGGAAGTGTTAGGATCAAGGCCAGGCTTTGAAATAATGCTGGGCAAATAGCAACCCACTTCTGCTGTGTAGCAATAGTAGCCTTCATGCCCTAATTCTATGTCCCTTCACTCTACCTCCCTTTGTAGCTTTTTTTTTTTCTTGGTACTAGAGATTGAGTCCAGGGGGCCTTGCCCATGCTAGACCATTACTCTACCACTGAGCCTTATCTGTGGCTACCTTTCTAAGAATGTTTATGTTATGGGGACTAATTAGTGGTATATTATAAAATTAGTGTTTGTGTCTTGCTGGAATACTGTCCTTATCTGTGGAGCTGCATCGTGTTATTTGGAAGTAATTTCTTGATTGATTCCTCCTTTAACAAGTCTACCTGATTTTCCACAGAAAATACAGGAGAAGTATTGGCTGGGAGCATTGGGAATGAGATGGGCAGTGTTGGCGTGTTGTGCAGACTTGGGCCTTCCTTTGTGCTCTTAATCTCCCTTGGAAAGAGGCCCAGAATTCAAAGCAGGAGGGCATTGAATGTGGCCAGCTTTGTTTAAGAAGCATTTCAATGTGGTGTTTGTGTCTTGAGAACACAGAACCAACCGTTCCACTGGCAGAGACTTGAGGCCCATCTAGCCTAGCATTCTGCATTCTGTCTGCGAAAGTGGCACCAAAGGGTGTTTTGTGGGAAGGCATTCTTCATGCTGTCAGCCTCAGGGGCTTTGTGACGCTCCCCATGATCTCCAGCTTCCTATAATAGTCCATGGTGGATATGTTATCCAGGAATGTTTAAAACCCTCCTTGAGCCTATTCAGATGTGCCAGCTCTGAGGTGACAGATTCCAGAGTCAGCACATATCTAAACACTTAGCTTATGCCCAGCAGAGAACCGAACACTGTAGAAGATACAAAGGGTGTGTGATGTTTGATCCCTACTCCTGGTTGAGCTTCATACTTTGTGGGGAAGACAAGACCCAGTTGCAGTTGTAGAACAGGTAGGCAGTAATACCAGAGGTCACTCGGCACACCGGGAGTGGATCAGACTCAGTGACAGAACTCTGAGAGACTACTTTGTGAAGCACAGCACCATGTCATTGAACTCTGCTGAAAGCTGCGATACCCTCTCCCTTTGTGCAGATCACATGGGAAATAAACTGCAATCAGAAGGCTGATTAATGAACAAGGGAGCTAATTTAGTCAGCACGATTGAGTCGTTGATTATAGCAGCCCAGCACAACCATTGTGCCACACCTAGAAAAGCCACATCTCCTTTCTCATGTCCTCTACTGCTGCTTGATCTTTCTGTTTCAAGAGCATCCAGCCCTACCTCAAAAGTACCTTTTTGTATCTCCCCAAACCACAATAGATGCTTAAGGGTTTAGTACTTGTCCTTAAATATTTTGAGAGAAGGAATCTGTATTTAATGTGGGTTCCTCCTTGTATGCTGTATAAAGTGCATGTGTATATAATATATAATATATATATGAAGTGCAAACTATGCCGTCTAGACAACATGAGCCAGGAAAACAGAAGCGAGAGATCACTTCGCTGAAAATGAAGTTTTCTGTACGTGGCACAGAAAGGACTTGTTATCCTACTTGAAAAAAGTATAGAATTAGATAAAAGAAGGTAAAGAAGGAAGAACAAAGTAGGAGTAAACTCAAGGGAGATACATGCACACACATAGACTCATACACACATATGCACAGACACACATTACTTTTTTTTAAGACAGGTATGTATGTAGCCCAGGCTGGCCTCCAGTTCACAGCCCTCCTGCCCTAGCACCCTAGCATCTGGAATTACAGGTGTGTGCCAGCACACAGTGGGAATGCTTACACTCTTTGGCTGACACCTTCCTTCTCAGGGACAGTATTTTGTTGACCTTTGTGGACAACAAAGCTGTGGTTAGTGGATGGTCTGGTAAATCCAGTCTCCTACTTAGGCTCTATCATTCACAGTCCTTGGGTGCCATGTTCACATCTGTGAGATGGAAATCAGATCACTTTCCCTTACAGTTTGTTAGTGCTGTGGAGGTTGAGTAAAAATGTATATGAGGGGCTAAGGAAATGATTCAGTGACCAAGAGCACTGGCTGCTTTTGCAGAGGGTTTGGTTTCCAGCACCTTCTTCTGGTGTCCAGGGGCATCAGGCACCTTCATGCATGCAGGCAAAATACTCATACACATTAAAAATAAAAATAAATCTTGGTGCATTTTTGGTTGTTGTTTTGAGACAGGGTCTCCCTGTAGACCCAGCTAGCCTGAAAGTCACTGTAAACCAGGTTGGCTTCGATCTCACAGAGCTCCACCTGCCTTTGCCTCCTTAGTCCTGGGGTTAAAGACTGTGTGTCACCACACCCAAACCCAAAATAAATAAATCTTTAAAGAAAAAATGTTGGGGATAGAGAGATGGCTCAGCGGTTAAGAGCACTGGCTGCTCTTGCAGAGGACTCGGGTTCAATTCCCAAAACCCACATGGTAGCTAACAACTGTTCTTAACTTCAGTTCAGAAGAACTTCAGTTCTTTACAAAGTTGTTGCCAAATATTTCAGTCCTAATTTTCTTCCTTATAGGTGCGGAATGGCCACATCAAAAGAATCACCGACAATGACATCCAGTCCCTGGTACTAGAGATTGAAGGGACAAATGTCAGGTAGGTTGCCGACTCTGCTCTCCCAGACATGTCACATCAAGAGGCAGTGTACATCTGAGCTAACAACAGGCTGCAGAGCCAGGCTGCCTGTGGATGCACTGCGCTGCTGACAGCTTACCTTGGGCAAGTTACTTGATTGCCAGCTTTAGTTTCCATCTGCAGAGTGGCAACATTTTCCTTGTAGGGTTATTGTGAAGATTAAGTAAGTGACTGTGTCTGAAGGCACTTAGAACATGCTCGGCATAGTAAGCATTAGCTGTGCGATTAATGCTCACCCTGAGTTTGTGAGGGCAGCTGTTACTATCACTCAGAGGGTGGCTGGTGTGACCTTCAGTACCTCGGTATTTGTTTTAGTTTTCTATTATACTTTAGACAAGAATTGAAGTCTTCTTTACTGGAAGAACTTCCCAAGCTCCACTGGTTTGGCTTTGTTTTTCAAATATTTCTATTTTATTGTTGATACCAAGCTTTTGTTTGAGTCCAAAATTTTTTGGTTTTGGGTTTGGCTTTTCGAGATAGGGTCTCTCTTTGTTGCCCAAACTGACCTTGTACACCTAGTCTCCAGCAGTCTTCCTGCAGGTCACTACACCTGACATTTTAAAAATTCTTTTGACTTTTGGGACTGGAGAGATGGCTCAGCGGTTAAGAACACTGACTGTTCTTGCAGAAGACCCAAGTTCGAATCCCAGCACTCACATGGCAGCTAACAACTGTCCATAACTCCAGTTCAGGGGATCCGACAGCCTCTTCTATCTGTGGGCATTGCATGGCACGGGTGCACTTACCTACATGTAGGCAATACACGGATACACATATAATAAAAAAAAAAATGTTTTTTAGAAATTCTTTTGACTTTTAATTGTATTTTTTGTGTGTACATGGGGAGCAGATGCACATGGTGTGCGTGGGGAGGGCAGAAGACAACTCGTAGGAGTCGATTCTCTCCTTTATGTCTGTGTGAGTCCAAATCAGATTGTTCAGCTTTACTTCATATCTAGCGCCTTTACCTGCTGGATGTGGCTCAGCAGTTAAGAGCACTGGCTGCTCTTGGAGAGGACCCAGGTTTGATTCCCAGCACCCACATGGCAGCTAACAACTGTCCTAACTCCAGTTCCAGGGAATCCGACGCCCTCTTCTGGCCTCTGCAGGAATTGCATGACACAAGTACACTTAAACACATGCAAGCAGTACACTCATATACATAAAATTTTTAAAAAATGTTCCCAGGTTCAATGATTCATTGACAGACTAATCTGAGTCCTTTAGGTCTGTTCTCCAGTTCTTCCTCTTGGACTATGTTTTGTGCACACCACAGAGTTAAAAAAGATTGTTGGTATTCCTCTTGACAGCACCACATATATCACATGTCCTGCAGACCCTAAGAAGACACTGGGAATTAAACTGCCTTTCCTCGTTATGATCATCAAAAACCTAAAGAAATATTTCACCTTTGAAGTGCAGGTGAGTACGCACGTGATCTCACCCACTCTTCCCTGCTGTAGGAAGGCGTAGTGCTGGAACCTTTAGCTTTCTGCATGAGTTCTTTCTTGCCTTTACTATAAGCTCAGTGCAGCTCTTGTTCTTTTGATGTAAATTTGGTGTTTGTAATCAGAGTTAACATGAGATTTGTAAGAAACAGCATCTAGAAAATCTAATCGATGGCTGCAAGATTTCAAAATATAAAGTTAACATCAGGTCCATTTGTGGAATAATTAATGCTGAGTTGTTTGTATTTTAGTATTTTAGAGTTTTTAGGAAGGAACTAGGAAACCCTATAGTCTGGGCCTGCAGGTGTGTCAGATGTCCTAGCAGCTGTTGTCTTGGCAACAAGTAAGATAAACTTGCTACTTCCAGGCCATCTGTGACCAGTTGTGATCTGTCTTGGGCCTGTTTATTTTCCCTTGGGGTTTGGCCTTGGGAACCAGACTGGAGTTCGGGTTCTTGTCTTGATGAGGTTATCTGAGCCTTGCTGCCATGAGGTTAACATGGTCCTTCTATGAATGTATAGGTACTTGATGACAAGAATGTTCGGCGGCGGTTTCGAGCAAGTAACTACCAGAGCACCACCCGAGTCAAACCGTTCATCTGTACCATGCCCATGCGGCTGGATGATGGCTGGAACCAGATTCAGTTCAACTTGTCTGACTTCACCCGGCGGGCATATGGCACAAACTACATTGAGACCTTGAGAGTGCAGGTACTGGCCTTCCACATGTGGAACCCCACATTGGGGACTTAGGGGTGTACTCCTTATGGCTGGCCTGTAGCCCATGTGGCAGAGCAGTGGGGGATTCTGGCTAAAGTTCCCCAGGCACTGTTCATGGGGCTTTGGCCTCAAAAAGGTCCAGAAAAATCTTCAGAGGTCTGCTCAGATGTAGGGTAAACTCAGCAAGCAAGAGGCCCCTCTTTTTGGAATCTACCCCAAAGCCAGGCCAAGTTGCTGGTGGAGATGAAGTTTTGAAAGTACCATGATGTTTATGTTTAGCCTGGCCAAATGAGTCTTGCCTCCACAGATCCACGCAAACTGTCGCATCCGACGGGTTTACTTCTCAGATAGACTCTACTCAGAGGATGAGCTGCCGGCAGAGTTCAAACTCTATCTCCCAGTTCAGAACAAGGCCAAGGTGAGGCAGCCTTCCTCAGAGGAAGCAAGGGATGGGGTTGTGGGGCTGTGGCCCAGGACATCTCTTGTCTAGGATTTGAGCTGCTGGCCTGGCTAGGTTGGCCCTGAAGGAGTGCTCTGATGCCATCACCTCTTAGTCCTCCTTCCAGCACAGCAGTGCTGAATCAGTTCTGAGCTGTGGCAGGCTCTGGTGGTGCTGCCTCTGCGCACAGTGCTCCTGCTCTTCCCCCTCTGCGGGGGCCTGCTCACAGCCCTCTTTGGAAGAATATCCTCCATCTTAGCCTCTGTCAGCCTCAGACACCAGTGAGCAAGCCGTACCCCCACACACACACACAATGGTGGGCACTTGCACGCCTGCCTGCTGCAGACACACTTTTGTCCCACAGCCCATTGCCCACTCGGGGGACAAGAAATGGGGGCTGGTGATGCCATCAGTTTTCTAATAGTTTAAACTGATGCCTCTTTTCTGCTTTGCTTTGTTTTTTTCCTTCAGCAATAACTGGACTGCAGCTAAGGGAGATGGACCCTGGATACGACCTTAGTTTAAAAAGGAGACTATATGGGGACAATGCAAAACACACTTATATGAATCCACTGTGCTATGGTTCATTTACTACTTGGTGTCCCTTGTCATGGACACCAGTGACCATGCCACAACCCTGTTAATTGCATTGTAAGGTCAGTGGGGCAAGGTAGTGCTTTGAGTGACACACAACTGCTGGGTTTCCTCTGCTGCCTGCCCCAGCGTGTGTGTGTGAGATACATTTACCACAAACACAGAATTAGAGATGTCCTAGAAGGCAGTTTCAGACCAATATTTCTTCCTACAGTTTATTCTTTGTTTTATATATTATCTAAATATATGTATATGCTGTGTAATACTCATAATCTGGAAATGAATAAAATGATATATTCTTGGTTTTATAGATTTGTTTCTACTTTGCCTTTTTTATTTTTTATTATTTTTTTTAATTTAATTCATGTGTATGAACGTATTGCCTGCATGTAGGTAAGTGCACCCAGGTCATGCAATGTCCACGGAGGTCGGAAGAGGCTGTCGGATCCCCTGGGACTGGAGTTATGGACAGTTGTTAGCTGCCATGTGGGTGCTGAGATTTGAACATGGGTCTTCTGCAAGAATAACCAGTGTTCTTAACTGCTGAGCCATCTCTCCAACCCCCTACTTTGCCCCCTTTTTTTTTGTTGTTTTTTTTGAGACACGGTCTCCCTGTAGCCCCAGCTGTCCTAGAACTCGCTACGTAGACCAGGTTGGACTTGAGCTCACAGAGATCCTCCTGCCTCTGCCTCCGAGTGCTGGGATTAAAGGTGTGCACCACCATGCCCGGCTATTTTGCCTTTTTTAATGGTGGTGTTTCTCGTTCCTTTTTGGTGTGATGATAGAACTGCCCCCGTTGAACATGTTGTACTTGTGCAGTATCCTGCAATCCTGCATGGAGCGCTTGCAGAGAAGCTAATGGGGTTAAGTTGAGCATAACACATGATGCCATCTAGCCTAAGCTGTTTTTTTTGTTTTGTTTTGTTTTTTAATTATTTTTATTTTGTGTGTATGCATGTATTGCCTGCATGTAGGTAAGTGCACCTGTGTCGTGCAATGCCCAAGAAGGTCAGAAGAGGCTGTCAGAGCCCCTGGGACTAGAGTTGTGGACAGTCATTAGCTGCCATGTGGGTGCTGGGATTCAAACCCAGGTCTTCTGAAAGAACAGCCACTGTTCTTAACCACTGAGCCATCTCTCCAGCCCCTAAGTTGTTCTTAAACATCTTTGAGGGTGCCTTGTCAAACCCTACATGGTTCTCAAAGTAATTGGGCTCTTCAGCATTGGAGCAGATCCCCCAATGAAGGACTTGTCTCGAGTGTGGGGCTGCGAAGAAGATGCCTCTTTCAGCACTGGGATTAGGAGAAACCTTATACTTTAGTGTGTGAGATGTGTGAGTGTGGGTTCATGCATATGCCACAGCAAGTATGTGGAGGTCAGAGAAAAACTTTCAGGAGTTGGTTCTCTCCTTCTAGTGTGGGTTCTGAGGATCTGACTCAGGTCAGACTTTCCTGGCGAATTCCTTCACGCGCTGTGCCATCTCCCGGCTCAAAGGTGAATGTCCAAGTCTAAAAAGAGCAAAAAGCCGTTTCAGACTGCTCTCTACTTCTCTCTACCAGCCTTTTTGACTTGTCAAAGTGAAAAAACAAGTTCTACAATTTCTCACTGTTTCTTCTGGGAAATGCAATATAAGGACCACTCTTCTCCAGTATCTAGCCTCCAAAGTACTCTGAGCAAACTACCAAATCTGAGGAGGACAGGAGTGTGGGGACGAGGGATCCTCTGCTACTCCCTTATTGGACTCTTCACTGTGTATTCATGTCTCCTTCCCTCCCTCATGCTGCCAAGCAAGCCAACCAGCTCCTTCCACAGATGTGACCCTGTCCTGATAACCCTAGCAGCCCCACATCTAAAACCTTCCACAGCCCGGGTGATGGCTTAGGCAGAGCCAGGTGGCATCCCGCTTTTCCCTTGAGCGTTGTCAGCCTTCATTCACGTGCCTGTCTCTAGCTTTCTGGGATACAGAAAGTCCCCTGAAGTAGGTGGGGGTCGGGTGGCCAGTGACTGCAACAGAGCCACTTGTCTCTGCCATGGTAAAATCTTCCCTGCAGTCTGGTGTCTGCTGTGGGATGAAAGATGCTTTTGTGGTGGCAAGGGAGTCCGGCCTAGCTTTTCTTCTGCTCTTGGTGCTGGGACACCAGTGAAATGCTCCTGGAAACAGAGAAACAGTAAGACTCCTCCACACAGAGCCCCTTTCACCCTGAGGCTCGTCAGCCCTCACTGGGGATTACCTCACCAGCCTCTAAAGGGTGGCAGGCAGCTGCTGCTGACTTAATGCTTCGCATACCCATCTGAGAGGAAGTGTGTGTGGTGGGGGTGCTGAGGGTGACGGGTATCATCTAAGCTGGAACCAGGCCAAAAGAGCAGTGGCATTGACCAGGACACTGCCCTTGGCCTTGGTTTCCAGCTCACCAGGAAGATGACAGGCGACTAATCAAGAAACTGTGGGAAGAAGCGAGAAAGCAGGCTGCTGGGGCAGAGGCCTCTGCAGGGCCAGGGTGATGTCGGCTCCTGGCCATGCGGCAGCCAGGTGCAGCTCCTCAGAAGCCATGATGTAGTCTAGATGGAACTGCTTTCTAAGCAACTGCTGGGTTGCTGCATGACCTGAAAGAACTGTGTAGCCATCAGTGGCTCACGTGGGGGTTGGAGATCCATCAAGGCCCTTGTTAGCCAGTAGCCCAGTGATTGCTTTGTCTATAGCCAGCCTACAAAACTGGCTGGCACCAGACCAAACTTCCTGCAGTAGTTTCCAGGGATGTCAACAATCTTCCTAGCCTTGCAGTGGCTTTAGCCAAAAGCTCCAGGTGTCATGGAAGTCACTGGAAAAAGTCTGCAGCCCTGCACTCTTGTTTTACCGATGACAATGGGGCTGTTCTGGTAGTGACAGGGAGGGGCAAGGACCCAGCTCACCTGGTGAGAGTTTGTGCTGTCTCTGTGTTAGCATCCCCCTGCCTTGAGGGCTAGAATTGGCTCGACCTTGACAGTGAAGGCCGTTGGCCAGTCCCAAGTGGTCACAGGTTATCTGAACTCCCCTGAGACTGAGAGCCAAGGAGTAGAGGTTTGTGTTTCATTGGATCATAAAGGCAATGTATGCTCAGCAAATTCAAACCCAGAAAATGAAGTAAGATGCAGGCTCAGTCCCCATTCCTGAATGAAAGTCTCTAAACACATGAGAGTTGCCTTCTGCCCCTGGCCTGCTAGTAGGAGCAGGCTGTTCAGATTCCTACTCTGTCATTTGTTCTCCTAGAAGCTTGGGAGGCCTAGAGCTGGGAGCTTCTTTAAGGAGATGGAATGGGCTGGGGATGTAGTTCAGTTGGTAGAGTACTTGATTAGCATGCACAAAGCCCTGGGCTTGATTTCTGGTATCACATAAAACTGAGCTTGGTAGTGCATGCCTGTAATCCCAGCACTCTGGAGGTAGAGACATGAGGTCATACCCAGCTGTGTAGTGTGTTTGAGGCCAGCCTGGAATTCAAAATGCAAAACAACCCACAAAGGCAGCACAGATGGCAGAGTGCATTGGGGCAGTGCCTTCCACGAGGCACCTTCAGGAACATGCTGGAAAGTGAAAGATTGGAGCTACCCTGACCCACAGACCCATATAGCAGTCGGAAGGCTTACAAAGGTTGTGTAGCTGTCCTGGGCCAGGGTGAGGATAAACCTTTGGGCTTCCTGCTAGAAGGTCAGGCTCCAGGACTCATCACACCATCAACCAACCACTCATACCTGCTCATAAAGCTTCTAGAATGAACTTGAGGATCACAGTAGAAAGTGCCCATGTCTTCCCTATGGGAAGATGAATCTACTGAGTCTTAATCTTCATTTTCACAGTCTGTTGCTGGACATTCTATAGTGAAGTGTTGCTATGTTTCTGTGGCTTTTTCTGGGGAGACATGAACAAACATCTGTTTCTCTCAGATGAGGCACTGACAATGGACTGAAGAAACAATTCCATTCAAGTCTAGCTTGGCGAACCAATGAGTTTATTGGGGTTATTTACAGAAGTATCAGTGAGAGGTTGCAGAAGTATGGATGACCCAAGGCAACTCACCAAACATGGTGACAACTCACAAAAGTGGCATCACTGGGACTCCCCATACAACTTACAAACAGCTCCGTGAAAGACTCCTCTTCTGGCAGTTGTTTGTATAACTTTAGTGAAGGGTCTTTTTTGCCTTGTAGCTTGGGTGAACTTCCTGGCCCTTAAGTTTTGTTAACTTCTTAAGTCTTGTGAGCTTCCTTCCTCCCTTGAGAGGAGTGTTTCTGTTCAGCAGAAATTGTTACACAACACTCCACACCTTCCTCTAGCTCTTACAGTCTTTCCACCCCCACTTCCACAATGCTTCCTGAACGTTGGATGGAGTGGCAATGTGATTTTTTTTTTCCATTTATGGCTGAGCATTGGTTCACGAGGCCACAGCAGTTTAATTGTATATGTTGATGGTCTCTGCCCATTGCAAAAAAGAAGTTTCTTTCCATGCTGGAGGCCAACAGCAGCAATAGCTGCTTCCTCACTGGGGCCTGTGATTTCTGCAGTCACAGGCTGTTGTCTTGGCTTATGGTGCCAGGCATGAGTTCCCGTCTATGGAGCAGGTCTTAAATACAATTGGAAAGCATTTGGCTGACCCCTAATAGTTGTGCCACTAATGAACCAGCAGACACATCTTGCCTAGCATGTTGGTAGTATAGCATGTAGTCTTTCTTACCCCAACAGTCTGCCCTACTTCTCCATGCTCTGCATTCACAGCAAGATTTGTGAGGCTTCAGAGGCCTCACTGACCAACAGCTTGTAAGGCAGGACGCTGTGTCTGTGTGTTTGCATGTGGAGGGCAGAGAACAATTTTGGGTGTTGTTCTCAGAAGTCATCCACTTTTTCTTTCTTGGGGGAGGGGGGTCAATGTCTTTCCCTGGCCTGGAACTTGTCAAGGAAGCTAGGTTAACTGGTAAGGGAGCCCTAGGGATCTGCCTGTCTCTACTTTTATACTGCTGGGATTACAAGTCTATGCCACCACACCAAGTTTTTTAATATGGATTCTGGTGCTCAAACTCAGTTCCTTGTGTTTGCAAGGTACACAGTTTACCAACTGAGCTGACTGCCCAGCCCCAGAATACCATCTTTGTATGCGTGTGTATGTGTGTGTGTGTGTTTATTTGTGTGTGTGAGTATTGCCTGCATGTAGGTGTGTCCGTGTTGTGCAATGTCTGTGGAGGACAGAAGAGGCTTGGAACCCCTGGAACTGGAGTTAAGGACAGTTAGTTGTTAGCTGCTATGTGGGTGCTGGGATTTGAAACCAGGTCTTCTGCAAGA